GTGATCCCAAATACTTTCTAAATACTTCTAATACTTTCTAAATATTTCTATGGATCAATGAGATCCCTTCTCAGATCAGATATTTCTCTGGATATTCCAGATATTTCTCTGGATATTCGAGATATTTCTCTGGATACTCGAGATATTTATATGGATATTCGAGATATTTATATGGATATTTGAGATATTTCTCTGGATATTCGAGATATTTCTCTGGATATTCGAGATATTTCTCTGGATATTTGGGATATTTCTCTGGATATTTGAGATATTTATATGGATATTTGAGATCCCTGGCCTAGCTCTGCTTTAGGAGGGGGACTCTTGCCATCTAGTGGGAGAGGATGGGACCTCCAGGACCTCTGTTATCCCTCAGGATAAGGCAAAATGCCACCCTCTATCCCAGATTTTTTGGTGCTTGATGAGGAATTAGCCCCTCCTGCCTTCCCCCAGTGTTGTCACTGCCTCCAGCTGCCTTTCTCCCTCTTTTCCCTCCTAGAAATCCCACTCTTTTCATATCTTTAGGAGCAAAACTTAGTTTCCCTTGTTCTGGGCTCATCTCCTGGATGGCTGAGCTGCCCAGGGAATCTGCCAGGAATTTGGACATGGGGAGCAGGATGTTGGCTGGATGGAGGGAAGGATGTGGCACCTGCATTTTGTCAGGACTTTCCTTGGGGGAATTTACCTTTCAGCACCTTCAGGCAGTGCCCAAGGGCAGCCAGGATCCCTGAGGAATCCCTGAGGAATCCCACACAGGGAATGGGAAGCACTTGTTGAGTGCCTCCTGCTGGGTTTTTCCTTGCTCTAGGAAAACCAGGAGCTCACATTCCAGTGGGGAGATGTCAGTGCTGACTGATCTCCCCCACCACCACCCCTTTCCTGAAGTGTTGAAGAGGGAAACACAAGGAAGATTCAGTGATTTCTCTGGGAATTTGCTGCCTGGGACTGAGAGGGAGAAGCTGCTGTAGAAAAGGGACTGTGGCTGCCATGGAGAAATCCAACTCCAGCAAGGATTTCTCTGGGATTCAGGACTTCACCCACCTTGGCTATGAGCCTTCCAATAGGTGGGGTTAATGGGGGCTCCCAGAGAAACTGTGGCTACCCCATCCCTGGAAATGTGATTCCCCATCCCTGGGAATGTGATTCCCCATCCCTGGAAATGTGATTCCCCATCCCTGGGAATGTGATTCCCCATC